ATAATTAATCATGATTGCAAGTGGCCAATAAATTAATTAAAGTGATCATTCAAACAATCACATTAATAACATGTTAATCACATTAACATTTAACTCATGTGAATAATTTCAAGAATAAAGTCAAGCATAAAATTTGCACAAATAACCACATATACATTATTCGCATAATTACTACATGTTCTCATTTCTACAATTACAATTATATTCTCAACATAGCCATCAATCACTCAAATGACATGATAATAATAATATGCATGATCGATCTCTTCCTTATATCCCCCTTATTCCTCTGACATGAAATCCGTGGGCCAACAACCGAAAGGGATCATCCATGTGGTGAGACTACCCCAAGGCCTTAATCATATTGTGAGGGGCTACCGGGCCAGGGTTACCTTACTCACTTATGAACACGATTTCTTCCAAATCACACACTATGGAGTGTCATACCCAAAACTAGCTCTACCCAAAACTCCAGGTAGGCCAGTAGGGTCAAGTCCCTTAATAGGAACAATGCTACAGTACCTTACAAGGTAAGTAGCGGCTATAACCCCTAGGATTATTGGTTAATAGCCGAGTATCATATGGATTTTGTGTAATCGCTAACTCCTTCATTAAGGCGAACTCCCGCCATATGATCATGCTCATGAGAAAATGCATTTCAAAAACTCATATATATATTTCAAAAATTATCCCACATGCTCATCAACTTTCATCACTGTGTATAATCCACAACTTATAACCAAGAGTGTACATAATCATCAACCATCAATCTCATTACTCACAAGTCATAAAGTCTCAACAGAGTCACATGCATTACAAACAACTATTTCAAATTTGATATATATATATATATATCTTCTTTTATTTCACCAACATAATTAATTAAGTAACATACAAATGCATAAAATAAATTTCCCCGGTTACCTCAACCTTTGAGAGGTCAAGGTTACCCCTCAAGTTACAACACTTCCAAAGCTTTTCAAAGTTAAATGTGGTCAAAAGAAAAATTATCATAATAAGCATCATCCACAATGTGTCAATAAGATTAGGAACACAATTTCACTCATACTCTAATACTTAAGTATTTTTTATTTTATTTCATTTTTTTAAGACCTTAGTCTTAGCCTCTTAAGTTTTAAAATTTAATTTTTGGTATTTAAACCTATCTACTAGATTCATAGTCTCCTTTACAATAATTTCATTCAAATAATTTCTAAAATTTTCCTTTTTATTCCAAAAATTCGCATATAAAAATACCCAAAAATTGCAAAACTTGATTTCAAGCCTAGAATCATTATTTTATAGCCATAATAATTTATTTCTCATCTTAAATAATCATCTAAATATCAAACAAATCATTATATTTTTAGATTTAACAAAAAAATCTATCCATAGGGATCTAGGGATAAATTCAAATGCCTCAATTCCAATTCTATCAACAAAATAATACGCTACGCTAGAGATATTTATTACACTACTAACAACCTCAAAAACCATATTTATTCAACATAAATTCATCCCTCTTCCAAATCCTAAATTTTCTACCATCACAAAATCAGAAACCAAAGAGAAAGGATGATTAAGAAAAATTTTAGAATACTTACTTAGTCTTAGAATACTTAAATCTCATCTAAAATATCCTAATATGGAGCTTCACCTTTTAATTAGATCTATCGCAGGTGTCGCGCTCGCCGTCTCTATTTTCGCTCTCTATGTCGCGTAAGAAAGAATGAAGAAAAGAGAAGAGAAATGAAAAACGCCAAGAGAAGTCTGGTGGTTTAAAACAAAGAGTGGGTCCCACAAATTTTTTTTATCATTTTCCTCTTTCCTCTCCCTTTTTTATTTTTTTTAATTATTATATATGCTATGATTGCATGGAGAGCGTCGAAAGCACAGCCACTTCTTCTTCTTCTTCTTCTCTCTCTTTTTTATACCTTTTTTTTTTAATAATAATAATAATAATTTAATATTTTTTTATTAATTAATTTTTTTAGTTTAAAATTATATCCTAAGTTAGATTTATTTAATAATCTCATCTCCTACACTATTTGCCTACCTCTAAATATTTTTTTTAAATTTCTATAACATTAACCAATTAACTATTAAAATTTAAATTGGGATGTTTATAATTTCCCCTCCTCTAATAAGAATTTTGTTCCCAAAATTTGTAATCATAGGGAACATACCTTGCTTAAACAAATGATGATAGGAATGTTTCATCTTCTCCTCAGTTTCTCAGATTGCATTACCAGGGGCCATTCCTTTCCAAAATACCTTCGCAAGGCGAATGGTCTTATTTCTCAATTGCTTTTCCCTTACATCCACAATTCTTTCTGGTTCCACTCGATAGGTCATGTTCTCCCTTAGCTCAACCTCTTCAGGTTCTATTATATGAGACGAATTGGGTTGATATTTCTTTAATTGAGAGACATGAAATACATCATGAACTCTTAACAAATGAGGTGGCAAGGCAATTCGATAGGCCAAAGTCCCAATTTTTTGTAGGATTTGAAAAGGACCTATGAATCTAGGAGTCAATTTCTTAGCTTTTATTGACCTCCCAATGCCTGTCATTGGTGATACTTACAAAAATACATGGTCACTTACCTCAAAAGTCAAAGGTCTTCGTCGTCTATCTGCATAGCTCTTCTGCCGACTCTGAGCAGTCAATAAGTTTTGTCAGATCATCTCAATTTTAAGTGGTTTAGTCAATAATGTTTGGACCTATAATGCTTCTTTCACTCAACTCGGTCCAACAAAGTGGAGATCTATACTTTCTACCATACAACGCCTCATATGGAGCATATGAATACTTGAATGATAATTGTTGTTGTAGGCAAATTCCGCTAACAGTAGATGCTTGTCCCAACTACCTGTCCACTCAAGTGCACATGCGCGTAAATATCTTCAAGTGTTTGATTTTTTCTTTCAGTTTGACCATCGGTCTGTGGATGATATGCCGTACTGAACTTCAATTGAGTACCCATAGCATCATTCATCGCCTTCCAAAAGTTCGAGGTGAACCTTGGATCACGATCTGAAACATATCCTTAGGCACTCCATGTAATCACACAATCTCTTGGATATACAGTTTTGCAAATTATCCATGGTATAATCTTTTTGATAGGTAGAAAATGGGCTGACTTTGTCAATCTATCAACAATGACCCGTATTGCATTGTAACCTGCCTGTGTTTAGGCAAACCCATAATGAAGTCCATGGAAATACTTTCCCACTTCTAAGTTGGAATTTCTAACGGTTGCAATAAACCGCCAGGCCTCTGATGCTCTATTTTCACCCTCTGACAAATTAGACACTTGCTCACATACTCTGTCACATCACGCTTCAGACCATGCCACCACCAATACTGCTTCATGTCTTGATACATCTTGGTTGCTCCGGGGTGGATGGTGAATTTGCTTCTATGTGCTTCAGCAAGAATTGCGTCCTTCAACACTTTCACATCAGGAACACAAACCCTCCCATTGTAGACTATAAGACCATTATCATTAAAAGTGAAATCTGTGCCAGTCATCTTCTTATCTAAGTTCTTTCGAACTTCTAACAAGTATGGGTCTTCAAACTGAGCTGCTCACAACTTATCCCAAAATTTGATTGTAAGTACCGTAGTATTCAAATTGAACATAGCATAATCTGGGATATTTTATGGAAAACTAGAGAAATCTTTTAATAACTTCTTTGTTCATGAATCATCATACAAGCTACATGCACGGTCTTTCTGCTCAAGGTATCGGCCACTACATTGGCCTTCCCCAGATGGTACTTTAGTATAAACTCATAGTCGTTAAGAATTCTATCCATCTTCTTTGCCTCATATTCAGCTCCTTCTGGTCTACCAAATATTTAAGACTTTTATGATCACTAAACATTTCAAATCATGCACCATAGAGGTAATGTCTCCATATCTTAAGAGCGAAGACAACAGCTGCTAGCTCTAGATCGTGAGTGGGGTAGTTCATTTCGTGAGGCCTCAATTGTCTCGATGCATAGGCTACAACTTTGCCATCTTGCATGAGAACACATCCAAGACCCTTAAGTGATGCATCTGTATACACATCAAATGATTGCTTAGGATCAGGGATAGTTAAGACTGGTGTAGTCGTCAACTTCTTTCTCAAGGTGATAAAAGCCTCTTCACACTCTTTGGTCCACAAAAAGGTTTGTCTTTCCTGGTCAATTTAGTCAACACCGATGCTATTTGAGAAAACTCTTCAATAAACCTCCTATAATAGCCGACCAACCCCAAGAAACTTCTAATTTCTGATACTGAGGTCGGTCGTTCCCATTTCAACACCACATCAACCTTGTGAGGATCAACTGCAATACCTTCCTCATAAACAACATGCCTTAGAAACTTTACTTCATTTAGCCAAAACTCACATTTACTCAACTTGGCATAAAGTTGTCTCCCTTTCAGAATATGTAGCACTAATCTCAAATGCTCTTCATGCTCTATTTCACTCTTTGAGTAGATCATAATATCATCAATAAAGACAACAACAAACTTATCTAGGTACGGTCTGAAGATTCTATTCATATAGTCCATGAATATTACTGGTGCATTTGTTAGCCCAAATGGCATAACTAGGAATTCATAGTGCCCATACCTTGTTCTAAAAGCCGTCTTAGGTACATCCTCTACCTTTACCCTCAACTGATGATACCCAGACCTTAAGTTAATCTTTGAGAATACCACCGCTCCAGTCAACTGATCTAAGAGATCATCAATCCGTGGCAACGGATATTTGTTTTTGATTGTCACCTTGTAAGCTGGCGGTGTTGATACACAATTGCATTCTCCCATCTTTCTTTTTACAAAAGAGAACTGGTGATCCCTATGGTGTGATACACTCGGTCTTATGAAGCCCTTAGCTAACAAGTCTTCTAGTTGCTTCTTTAACTCTTATAATTTTGCGGGGGCCATTCGATACGGAGCCTTTGAAATTGGCTCGGTACTTGGAGCTAAATCAATTGAGAATTTAACTTCTCTCTGGTGGCAAACCATTCACATCTTCTGCAAAAACCACAGGAAATTCTTTTACTACTTTTATCTGATTAATCTTTTGTTCTTTGTCTCCTTGCACTGAACAGAACACCATGAACATTTGGCATCCTTCTTGATTTGACTTCTTGACTTCCATAGCAGACAAGAACTTAGGCATTTCTATGTCTACCATAATGGTACGCACAGTTATTTTAGGGATTGTAGAAATGGTAGTATCTACTGGCAATAGGACTGTCTTCTTGTTACAGTCTAAAGTCGCTCCATTAGCCGACAGCCAGTCCATTCCCACAATCACATCAATGCCCAACAAAGGCAAACAAATTAAGTCAATAATTGTAACCCTATCACCAAACTTCAAGTTGACATTAGAGCACACATGACTGGTCTTAGCAGAGGCCCCAGTCGGTGTAGAAACATTCAAAACAACATCCATTTCACACACAAACATTTTAAGTCTAGTCATATAATTTAGTACAATAAAAGAATGCGTAGCACCTGAATCAAATAATGCTTCTACTTGTTTGTCATTAAGGATAATCATACCTTTGATCAATTTTAGAGAAGCTTTTGCTTCCTCTTTAGACATCACAAAAACACGAGCAGGAATAACAGATCTCCCATCAGTCACAGCCTCTGGGTAATTACGGGCGATATGACCCATCTTGTTACATTTATAGCATGCCCAACAGTCTCCAACTTAGAATCTCCTACATTTATCACAACATGGTCATACTACTGGTGGTCCCATGACAGATGGAGTTGAGTCTTGCCTTGAAGCTTGGCTTCAGCCTCCAAAGCTCTTGAAATGGAAGCTCTTAGTTTGGGATCATCTAGATTGTGATTCCTTAGAGAAATTCTTCTTATTGCTTCCTCCACCTCCACTGTAACCCTTAGAGAATCTCGAGCTATAAGTTGACTTCTTGCTCACACCTCCAGTGGGGCCCATAAAAGAGGAATATTGACCTTGGCCATCTCGCCGATTACCGTCATTTATCTAGCTTCTTCTAGCAACAGCCCTGAACTTGTTACACATGACTTTAAATGAATCAATATCATGAGCTGCCAGTTGCCTGCTATACTCAGGTCTCATCTTGTCTGGGAACTGCTCATACTTCTATTCTTCATCAGCATTAGTCCTCAAGTACAAGGAATATTTAGAGAGCTCATTGAATTTGGCTATAAACTCTTCAACATCCATATTGCCTTGTCTTAAGTTATGGAACTCAGCTTCTTTTGCTGCCCTTACAGTTGGCGGGAAGTAATGGGCAAAGAACCTCTTCTTAAATTGCTCCTAAGTCAATTCAGATCAATCAATAGACTTAACACTTTCCCACCATTATTTTGCCGCATCTTTAAGCTTGAAAGTAGCCAATCGGACCCGTTGTTCAGTAGTGTAAGTCATCACAGAGAAAATGGATTCTAATTCATCAATCCATTTCTTGCTAGCTCGGTCTACCATAGAACCCTCAAATGATGGCGGGCTCAATCTTGCAAACCTCTTGAATGCATGGTCAATGGTAACCTCTTCCACTTTCTCTTTGCCTTTATTTTTCCTTTTCCTCTGCCTCACAGAGTTACTTTGATCACTTTGTTCAAAATCCTTAAAGGGCTGTTCTTCTTGTTGATTGTTGACTTCTAAATTCACTTCCCCTTGCTTCTCCTCAGGGTTACCAGTAGCGTTCACAATGACTTTGCTATTTCCCTCAGCAGCCTTCCCTAATATAACTTGGTCATAAACATCCATCCTTTTCTGGATGTCCATCAATGTTAAAGTAAGGAGGGCTACATCGTTGTTATTATCAGTTGTCGGAATAGCTTGAACTGGAGCTTGTGTAGAAGGTCTTGCTTGAGTCAAGACTTGAACTTGCTCAGTCAGGTTTAGTAACTCTGGCACCACTTGTCCTTGTTGGACTTGAACCAGTGTTGTTTCATCTTCTACCACCACTCGATCCTCTAGTCTTTATGGAATTGCCAAATGATTAGTAGCAGTATTCCTGGTTAGTACCATATTCTCCCCTCCTAAGGATGGAAGTAATACCACAAATGAAAAACAGTTAGTGCTAGCTCATAGAGGAAAAGAATATGTGTATAATGATAATTGCCAATTCTATATGCAAATGCAAGTACAATATAGTACACGATCATATAACAAGTCACACACAAACCACAGTCCAGTTCTCAAAACTCGAGAACTTGATACCAATTTGTAAGGGCGTTCTAAATTAGGACTTAATCATCACACTAATCGTAGTTAATCAAGAACTAACCTAAATGGATTATTCATTATGAGATTAACCTAAATGAATTCTTAACATGTATTTTTTTTACAAACTATTTAATAAAAAGGGATCTCAAGTCTTTAAAATATTTTAAAAACTCATATCATTTAATTAAACATATGCGGAAGCATAATAATAACTATTTTTACTTGCACAAATATTTTGGCCCATTACTATAATACAAACATCAAAACACATTCTTAAGGGCCCAAAATGTCTTTCTATCCAACACAAAACCCATAGTGCAAGTGGATTAAAAAATATATATCCTAATTGATAATATCATAAACTAAATACACATATCAACATAAAAGAAGAGAGGCCCACAGAAGTGATTATTATCACTTGGTCTAATGCTCCTTTCCTCTGTTCTTATCAGATGAACTAGCTCTTGTAATATGTTAAAAGAGAGGGATGAGTACAACCACTCAGTAACCAAGGTACACTTAAGTTATACAAATGCATGATAATTAATCATGATTGCAAGTGGCCAATAAATTAATTAAAGTGATCATTCAAACAATCACATTAATAACATGTTAATCACATTAACATTTAACTCATGTGAATAATTTCAAGAATAAAGTCAAGCATAAAATTTGCACAAATAACCACATATACATTATTCGCATAATTACTACATGTTCTCATTTCTACAATTACAATTATATTCTCAACATAGCCATCAATCACTCAAATGACATGATAATAATAATATGCATGATCGATCTCTTCCTTATATCCCCCCTTATTTCCTCTGACATGAAATCCGTGGGCCAACAACCGAAAGGGATCGTCCATGTGGTGAGACTACCCCAAGGCCTTAATCATATCGCGAGGGGCTACCGGGCCAGGGTTACCTTACTCACTTATGAACACGGTTTCTTCCAAATCACACACTATGGGGTGTCATATCCAAAAACTAGCTCTACCCAAAACTCCACGTAGACCAGTAGGGTCAAGTCCCTTAATAGGAACAATGCTACAGTACCTTACAAGGTAAGTAGCAGCTATAATCCCTAGGATTATTAGTTAATAGCCAAGTACTATATGGATTTTGTGTAATCGCTAACTCCTTCACTAAGGCAAACTCCCGCCATATGATCATGCTCAAGAGAAGAGAAATGAAAAACGTAAGAGAAGTCTGGTGGTTTTAAAATAAAGAGTGGGTCCCATAATTTTTTTTATTATTTTCCTCTTTCCTCTCCCTTCTTTCTTTTTTTAATTATTATATATGTTATGATTGCATGGAGAGTGCCAAAAGCATAGCCACTTCTTCTTCTTCTTCTCTCTCTTTTTTTTATACCTTTTCTTTTTTTAATAATAACAATAATAATTTAATTTTTTTATTAATTAATTTTTTTAATTTAAAATTATATCCTAAGTTAGATTTAATAATCATCTCCTAATAATTTGCTTACCTCTAAATATTTTTTTTAAATTTCTATTAACTCAAATTAACTATTAAAATTTAAATTGGGATGTTACATAATCAATCCTACTTGCAACTTGTCCCACATAAAATGACAATCTATCTCAATGTGCTTTATGCGTTCATGAAAAACTAGATTGGAGGCAATATGAATAGCTGCCTTACTATCACAGCATATTACAATAAGTGCAGAATAAATAATTCCTAAATCTTTTAACAAACCAGTTAACCAAGCAATCTTAGATACAATGCTACCCATTGCTCGATACTCAACCTCTACAAATGACTGTGACACTGTTTTTTTCTTTTTAGACTTTCAAGAGATAGGAGCTCCTTCTATTTTGATCAAGAAACCTGTGATAGGCCTTCAAATGTCAGCACAAGCTCACTAATCTGAGTCATAGTGTCCTTCAAGTTGGAATCCGCTCGAAGGAGGAAAGAATATTCCTTTTCTTGAATCCTTCTTCAAGTATTTGATGGCATTCATGGCTGCCTTGAGATGTGATTTCCTTGGATTACTCATGTATTGGCTTAAAACCTGCACAGTGTAGCTCAAATATAATTGAGTCATGGTTAAATACACCATTTTCCCTACAAGGCGTCTATATTTGGTGAGATCAATCAAAAGATCATCTTTCTCCCCCTTCCTAGATGCACTAAACAACTTTAAACTCTGATTCATAGGTGTATTTCTAGGTTTGGTAGCTTCCAGACCTATGTTAGCAATTAAATCAAGTGCATACTTTCTTTAGTTTAATATCAATCCATTTGTTGATTTAGCTATCTCTAGGCCTAGAAAATATTTCCAAGGACCTAAATCCTTCATTTTAAAATTGCTATGAAGATAATCTTTTGTTTCTTACACGTAACTCTCAGAATTTTCAGTTGTGACCAATTCATCCACATAAGCAAGAATAACAACAAAATCATTTTCTTTTCATTTAATGAATAAAGAATAATCATGTTTACTTCGTACAAGCAATCAAAGATTCATATAATTTCAAATTCCACTATCTTATGCCTGTTTAAGTCCACATGATGACTTAATTATCTTACAGACTTTTGTTTCTCCCTGATTAGCAAAGCCTAGGAGTATTTTCATAAATACTTCTTCAATTAAATCACCTTTCAAAAATTCATTGTCAACATCCATTTGGCACCTAATCCAATTATTTTTCATATCAAGTGTCAAAACGGCCCTAACAGTTGTCATCTTAACAATAGGAGAGAAAGTGTCAAAATAGTCTACCCTTTCTACTTGACTATATCCTTCCATATACATTATATTTCTTTTCTAAACATCCACTTGCATCCTATGGCCCTTTTACCTCTTGGAAGATCTACAATCTTCCAAGTTTTATTTTGTTGTAAGGCATTAATTTTATTTTTCATAGCATCTACCCACCTATTATTAGTAATAACTTCATTATAAGTATTTGGCTCAATAATTTCATCAATACAAGTAATGAAATCTTTAAAAGATGAAGAAACATTTGTATAATAGATGCTAAGTTGAATTGGATATAAGACTTTCTTCTTATTATGAGTCTGTACATTATTCAAGTGTTTTAAATTTGAGCAATCGTAATCCCTAAGCCAACTAGGGGGCCTCCTACACCTAATAAGATGAGACTATTATGCAACAAAAAAGTCATTAATAGTTTCAATGTCTAAAATGGGGCCATGAGGAATTTCTGAGTGTGAGTGAGAATTAGATTGATTTAGAATATTTGCAGGTATATTAGTGATAGGCATATTATATAGATTATCCTATTCAGGATCAAATAAAAAAGGATCTTGTGGCTTCAATGCAAGATGTTCTCCCCCTTGATCACAAAGCATGGAAACCTTATCTTTATAAGGAAACTTAGCTTTAATAAAAATGACTTATCTACTAACTTTAAACTTATTGTCTTTAAGACTGTAAAGAAGATAACCCTTTTGTTGACC